TCGTTGCTTTGTTGACAAGGAAAAGGATCAAAAACGCGCTACGTCTTGGAAAGGCCTGAGGGGGGCCTCGGATGGGGCCAAGAGAGTTAAGGTCAGTTTTCTACAAGGGCCATGCTGGGTCACCCGTTCTTGCCTTCTGTCGTATTCAAGTGGATAGAGATCACAGGGAGACAGTTGGATTTGTGGAAGCCCCGGGGGTGACCCACGTAGGTCCAGACATCAGGGGCCTCGGGGAGATTAAAGTGAACACAGGAAACTAGTCCCAAAATGGGGTTGAATAGGCCACCCGGGGGGGGGGGAGCGTTGGGGCCGATCATGCTGGAAGGGGAGGAAGTTGGGGGTGATCATCCCAGCAGGCAGAGTGTTTAAGGGTGATCAGGCAGGCAGGCAGGTAAGCAGTTAGGAGCCAGCAGTCCCGGATTGCGAGAGGGATTTCTGACTGCCCCTATGTGATTGGGCCTAAACCGGCAGTCGGACATCCCCCGAGGGGTCCCAGATTGGAGAGGATGCAGGCCGGGCTGAAAGACACCCCCCCCCCCCGCCCCCGCATGAATTTCATGCACCAGGCCACTAGATACAATATAATTGACTATATTCCCTATTCTATACCTACATCCTTGTGACTATTTTTTGTTTTTTAATTTTTACTTATTTTAAAGGGAGAAAGGGAGGGAGGAAGAGAAGGTAGGAGCAAGGGAGGAAGAGAGAGAAACATCAGTTTGTTGTTCTACCCATTTATGCATTCGTTGGTTGATTCTTGTATGTGCCCTGACTATACCTTGGCATATTGGGAGGACAAGCCAACCAACTGAGCTACCCACCAGGGTATTTTATTTTATTTTTAATTACAGTTTACATTCAATATTATTTTGTATTAGTTTCAGGTGTACAGCATAGTGGTTAGACAATCATATACTTCACCAAGTGATCCCCTCAATGTTTCAAGTCCCACTTGGCAATATTACTGACTATATTCCCTGTGCTGTACTTCACATCCTTATGACTATATTGTAACTACCAATCTGTACTTATCAATCCCTTCACTTTTTTCAATCAGCCCCCTAAACGCCCTCCCCTCTGGCAGCTGTCAGTCTGTTTTTGAGTCTATCAGTCTGTTTCTGTTTTGTTCATTTATTTATTCTTTAGATTTCACATGTAATTGAAATCATATGATATTTGTTTTTCTCTGACTATTTCACTTAGCATAAGACTCTCTAAGGAGTAAGAACAATACTTGAAATAATTGTAGGAGACCCCTGTACAAGACTAGAAGATTTTTGCTTGGTATGCAATATATATATATATATATATATATATATATATATATATATAATCTATATATATAAAAGGCTAATATGTAAAGTGTCCCTGCGGGTTCGACCAGGAGACTGGGAGTTCTATCGCTTGCTATGATGTGCACTGATCACTAAGGGGCGGCGTGGAATAAAGGAAGGCTCCAGCTAGCAGCTGGGGAAGGGAGGCACTGATCGGCCCTGATCGCCAGCCAGGCCTAGGGACCCTACGCATGCACGAATTTTGTGCACCAGGCCTCTAGTAGGAAATAAGAGCAAAGGGGTGGGGTTTTGCGGACGAATCTTATGGAAATTGAAGCCTTGCTGTTGGTCATTGGGTCTAGCTGTGGAAGCCAGCTGTTGTCTATGACATGCTGTGGAAGCAGGTGCTTCCCCAGATGTGGCCTCTCTAATTGTCAGGGCCTAATCATATCATTCATTCTTGCACACCCATTTTTCATATAAACACCAAATGACAATCAGCCTGTAGCCATAGCTGAAGATAGTTCCCTTTGATATCATCTCCTTTGTAAAGATCTCCTGTTTAGTAGATACAATAAACAAGCTCATGCCATTAACTTTGTGCCTCCCCTGCCCAGCAGCGAGAAAGGGTAGAAAGGTTATTATCCATACATAGAGCATTTGTGATTCAAGTGAGAAATTTCCTATATATTTTAAGTTGCTTATTAGGAAAATTTAAAGTCAGCTGGTTTTAATGCATTGCTTGGCTTCCTTTTAACCGAAGAGACATTTATTTTCTGTTGAGACTGAGAGCATTTGATTTATCAAAGAAGTAACTAGAATGGGATTCTAATAATGGCCCTCACCTCTACCCCCTTGTATCATTCAGTTAATTTTTTTAGAACCTTAGGAGGGATGGTGAGGAGGTAGAGGCTCCTAGCTGGCCAGCTGCCATTGTCAGTATGAGGAGGTGATGAGAGGATTGGCCCAGTGACTTTATTACAGTTCAGTTTAGTGGCCCTTTCTTGAGTCCCTGCTGTGTATGAAAACACTGTGGAGGTTAGGATAAATCAAAATATATCCCTGCCACTCACTGACTCTTCAAAGGAATAAACACATAATTAAGTGTGATATAAGGGATGTGGAGGTATAAACAAAGGACGTGGAGGCACAGAGGAGGAAGCCATTGGCATGGTATTTGTGGTGCACGTCAGTTAATGCTTCGTACAGGAAGTAATACTTGATTGGGCCTTGAAACAGAGTGATATTTCAAATTTGGAAAGGAAAGAAAAAGGCAAGGCTCAGAAAGCAAATAGTAGAAATAAGGCACACAAACACAGGATGTGAGTAGGCTATTAATGCTAGACTGACCAGGGATATGTGGGAAAGGTAAGGTGGAACTGGGTGGTGAAGGATCTTAAATGACAGTGCTTAGAGGTTTAGATTATTCTGTAAGCAGAACGGAGCCACCAAATGTTTTTGAGCAAGAAGGTAACAATATGATTTGTGAAACATTCATTGTGCAATGAATGGATGGCTTAGAGAGAAATAATAGGTACAGGTAATAAGCAATAGCATCAGTCTATGTCAGAGACGATAAGAGTATGAGCTGAGATGGTGGGAATGTAAGGAGAAAGGAGGAGATGGATTCAGGGCACACTTACAGGGTAAGAGCAGTCGAGTTTTACCCGTTTAAACTAGGCAGTGAGGAGGGAAAGAAAGGTGACTCTTGTGCACGTAGTAACTGGGCCGGGAATGCCATCGATGACCATGAGGACATCACTGGAAGAGCAGGCTTGATTTTGGAAAATGGTGAGTTGGATGAGTTTGAGGTGTTTCTTTCCAGGCAAGGATTAGAAGTTCATGTCAAGAACTTAAGAGTTGCAACTTGAGTCAGAGAAACAAATATGGAGAATTATTACCAAACAAATGAGAATAGGAACTATGGTACCAGAAGAATTAGCCCTGAGAACAAATGTGGAGCCAGGACACAGAGTCAGCTCCTGCCTCTTGAGCTAGAGCTCACCTTCTGTAGGCAGGAGAAAGAAGAAAACCAAACAGCAAAGGAGATGGGGTTGTTAATGAGAGTAAAACTAAGAAGGGAAGACTTTCAGATGCTGTGACCACAGCGGGAGGTCTGGGACGGAGGGAATTCCAGTGTGGTGCACATAGGAGTTGTTCATATAAATAGTAATAAACATAAAAGTACTTAAAAGTCAGTGACTCTCTATGCTTTGGCCTGTCATCCTTGCTTATTTTCTTAGTATTACTTCCCAAACCTCACTCTTTCTATTTCCCATCTACTCTCTTCTTTTTAAAAAAATTTTTTTTAAATTGATTTCAGAGAGGAAAGGAGAGGTAGAGAGAGATAGAAACATCAATGATGAGAGAGAATCACTGATTGGCTGCCTCCTTAATGCCCCCTACTAGGGATCGAGCCCACAACCCAGGCATGTGCCCTTGACTGGAATCAAACCTGGGACACTTCAGTACATAGGCCTATGCTCTATCCACTGAGCTAAACTGTCTAGGCTCTCCTCTCTCTTTAAACAGTGGGAGGTGGAGAAAAGGAGGGAAGTTGAAGCTAAAATGTAATCATTTTTTGTTCAGTCTATATATATAAAAGGCTAATATGCAAAGTGTCCCCTCAGGAGTTTGACCGGGAGACCGGGAGTTCGATCACTCGCTATGACGTATGCTGACCACCAGGGGGTGGTGTGGAACAAAGGAAGGCCCCCGCTGGCAGCCGAAAGGCGCCGATCAGCCCTGATCACTGGCCAGGCCTAGGGACCCTACCCATGCACGAATGTTGTGCACCGGGCCTCTAGTTTATAAACAAGTTGCATATTCTTTATTTTTAATAAGCAGCCTTAATAATAATAATAAAGTCACTTTGTCTGATTTTTAAAGTCAGTGTCATAAATGTGCTTGACGTGGGAAGTAAAAGTAATAGGACATTTTGGGTCCAGTTGAGTAGGCTTATATGTATTTATGGTTCTGATGTGGTCTTAACATCGATCATTATGCAATTTCATTTTCATCCTTAGAGGAACAAGTACACTAGCCTCACTCAGCCTAGGTTTTCTAAGGGAACGGTGCTTATTTTTCTGACATAAACCAATGATGCTGTTAGTTACCCAGATAACTTTTGCATTCCAGCTCATCTATAGCTCTGTTATTTTAAGATTAACTGGCTGGTTATATAATTTCTGAACATTTTCTTTTCACCTGAATATTCAAACTTAAGGACTCAGAACCTTTATTCCAGTGACTAGAAACTAGTGTTTGCTAGGTTAAGATAACATGAATTATGTTCATTTTGCCTTTCTAGATTTTGGCTTCAGTAACCTTTTCACTCCTGGGCAGCTGCTGAAGACCTGGTGTGGCAGTCCTCCTTATGCTGCACCTGAACTCTTTGAAGGAAAGGAGTACGATGGGCCCAAAGTGGACATCTGGGTATGTGCCTGCCTTCTCTTATGCCCATAACATTAATTACCCTGGACTGATGACAACTGTATTCATCCTGGGCGACACAAAATGTTGCATGTGAATTCAGATCTTGCTCACCTCTCTGAATTCCAAGTTCTTTTTTTTTTTAGAATTTTTTATTTTTTTAAAATATAATTTTATTAATTTCAGAGAGGAAGGGGGAAGGAAAGGGAGATAGAAATATCAATGATGAGAGAATCATTGATTGGCTGCCTCCTGCACCCCATTACTGGGAATCAAGCCCGCAATCTGGGTATACACTCTTGACCAGAATCGAACCCAGGACCGTTTAGTCTGCAGGCCAGCGCTCTATCCACTGAGCCAAACCAGCCAGGGCTGAATTCCCATTTCTTTATGCAATCTTTTCCCCAGCCGTTGTGTTAGGGATTGAGCCACAGATTTCAAACTCCCCCTTTGCCTGTGCATAAAGAAAAAACCAAGGGCAATTGGGTGGGTGCCCTTGTCAAGAACAGACTCTTTCTGTTGTTGCCACTGGCTGTCTTCCTAGAGGATGAATACTGAGAGCAGTTCTAGATATATTACCCCAAACTAACAGTCTGGAAGCAAAGAAGAATGTTAACAATTCTAAAGATGATTGGCCTTGACAATGCCCCATATTATTTCTCATAAATAAGAAAAGGAAGAAGTGTGTTCCATTATCTTGTGCGTGACTCACATTACTCTTCAGACAAGTACTGTAACGGCCTCTTTGTTTCCTCTGATGCGATTAATTGCATGCCCTCCCTGTTTGCGACGCAGAGCCTTGGAGTCGTCCTCTACGTGCTGGTGTGTGGCGCCCTGCCGTTTGATGGGAGCACACTGCAGAATCTGCGGGCCCGAGTGCTGAGTGGGAAGTTCCGCATCCCATTTTTTATGTCCACAGGTAAGGGCGTTGTCAGCACACAGCTATGACTGGTGTCATGGAAAGTTAGACATGTTACCCTAGGAATTGAGTGATGGAGCATAAAGGGCCATTTAACAACCTTTCTTATCTCCAACTTGCTGAATTGGTCCCTCGGGAAGGAAGGTTGAGTAGAAACCGTGTGCAGGCTTTGGCATCGGAGAGCCCTGCTAAGTTTGTCTGAGTTTGGCTCTGGGCTCTGGGTATAGCAACCAGTGTTATGTGGCAGATTGCTAAGTCTTCTGGGCTTTATTTATTTTTATTCTTTAATTAATTTATTTTTTAAAATCTTTGTTGTTAAAGTATTACATATGTCCCCCTTTCTTCCCCATTGACCTCCTGCAGGCAGCCCCACGCCCTGCCCCAGGCCTTCACCACCCTGCTGTCTATGTCCATGGGTTATGTATATATTAATACAAGGTCTTTTGGTTGATTACCTCTCACCCACCCTCTCTCCCCTGCCTTCCCTCTGATGTTCCGCACTCTTCCATGCTTCCATGTCTCTAGATCTACTCCATTCATCAGTTTGTTTTGCTAATTAGATTCCACATACGAGTGAGATCATGTGATACTTATCTTTCTCTGACTGACTTATTTCGCTTAGCATGATACTCTCCAGGCCCCTCCATGCTGTCTCAAAGGGTAAGAGATCCTTCTTTTTTACTGCTGCATAGTATTCTGTGGTGTATCAGCTTTTTTATCCAATCATCTACTAATAGGCACTTGGGCTATTTCCAGATCTTAGCTATTGTAAATTGTACTGCTATGAACATAGGGGTGCATATATCCTTTCTGATTGGTGTTTCTGGTTTCTTAGGATATATTCCTAGAAGTGGGATCACTGGGTCAAATGGCAGTTCCAGATTTAATTTTTTGAGGAAAACTCCGTACTGTTTTCCACAGTGGCCACACCAGTCTGCATTCCCACCAGCAGTGCACGAGGGTTTCCTCTTCTCCACATCCTCACCAGCACTTTTCATTTGTTGATTTGTTGATGATCGCCATTCTGACAGGTGTAAGGTGATATCTTATTGTTGTTTTAATTTGCATCTCTCTGATGATCAGTGACTTTGAGCATCCTATATAATAAAACCCTAATATGCAAATTGACTGACGACCAGTTGCTATGACGTGCACTGACCACCAGGGGGCAGACACTCAACACAGGAGCTGCCCCCTAGTGGTCATTGCGCTCCCACAGGCCCCCCCCTCCCCCCACCCCACCCCACCGAATGTCGTGCACTGGGCCTCTAGTTTTTTCATATGTCTCTTGGCTATCTGTATGTCCTCTTTAGAGAACTGTCTCTTTAGGTCCTTTGCTTATTTTTTATTTATTGGGTTTTTTTGTATCGAATTTTATAAGTTTCTTACAAATTTTGGGTATTAACCTTTTATCAGATATATCATTGGTGAATATATTCTCCCATTCAGTGGGTTGATGGTTTGCTTTGGTGTGCGAAAACTTTTCAGTTTGATGTAGTCCCATTTGTTCATTTTTCCTTTTGTTTTCCTTGCTTGAGGAGATATATTACAAAAAATATTGCTACAATAGATGTCTGATATTTTACTGCCTATGTTTTCTTTTAGGATTTTTATGGTTTTGAGTCTAACATTTAAGTCTTTAATCCATTTTGTCTTTATTCTTGTGTGTGGTGTAAAGAGATGGTCTGGTTTCATTTTTTGGACATATCTGTCCAATTTTCCAGCACCATTGATTGAATAGGCTATCTTCACCCCATTGTATATTTTTGCCTCCTTTGTCAAGTATTAATCAACCATAAGTATTTTTTTAAATGAGTGGTTAGTAGGATAAGTAGCTCTTAGAAAAATTTAACACTGAAAAAAGATACCAGATATCCAAAATCTACAGTTTTGTTTTATCACCATTAATATGTACATAAGAAAAGAACATTTTAGCAACAATGCAGTAAGCAATCTACTTAGTTTTGCTTAATTATGTCTTCATTTTAAGTAATAACATACAGAGTGTATGTCCACTTGGGTTGGACAAAATACAGGCACATGGAAATTGCATTTTAGAGTAACTGACTGTGTTCCTTAGAGCTAATGATTTAATAAATAGTATGTCAGATAATGATAAGTGCTCTGAGAAAAGTAAATAAGGAAGGAGGTTAGGGACAGAAGTGGTAGATTATTTTAGAAATACGGCCAGAGAACCCCTTCACTTAGAAAGCAACACTCCCACCAGCCTTTGGTTCCACATTCTCACCAGCACTTGATGTTATCAGTGCTTTCAGTTTTTGCCATTTTAATAGATATGTGGTATTTTATTTTATTTTACAATTCTGTAGTGACATATGTTGATGAGCATTTTTACGTGCACATTTATCATCTATACTAGAGGCCTAGTGCATGAAATTTGTGCACGGTAGGGTCTCTAGGCCTGGCTGGTGATCAGGACCGATCAGGTTCCCGCCTCCTCCTTCCCTCGCCACCTGTGCACCTCCATCAAGCAATTCCCCGCCTCCCCTGCCACCCTCGAGCTGCCACTCTGCGCCCTCCATGCTTCCTTCTTTCCTTGCTTCCTCAGCGCCCCACTGCCACCACTGGTTGCTCACCATGTTCTGTGCCACCCCCTGGTGGTCAGCACATGTCATAGCAAGTGATCGAACTCCTGGTCTCCCGGTTGAACTCCCGAGGGGACACTTTGCATATTAGCCTTTTATATATACAAGTGGGGCTTTAACTTACGAGTGTCCCGACTAATGAGTTTTTCGAGATACGAGCCGTCTCTCGGCCAATTTTTTGCTTTGAGTTGCGAGCTAAAATTCGGGTTACGAGCCAGCTTCAGACACCCCACCGCTAGTTGGCGCAGCGAACGTCACAGTGAACGCCACAACATCAGCCCAGCATCACGTGTCTCGCTCGTTCACTTTTTGATTTGACATACGAGTAATTTGAGTTATGAGCTCTGTCACGGAACGAATTAAACTCGTAAGTCAAGGCCCCACTGTATAGATATCTTATTTGGTGATATGTCTGTCCAAGTGTTCTGCCCACTTTTTAATTGAATTGTTTGTTTTCTTATTGTTGAGTCACTCTTTACTTTGAAACACTTTTTTTTCTTGTTGCTACTCAGACACTACGCTCTCCACTTTTCCTCCTGTCTCTGGGTGCACCTTCTCAGTCTTCTCTCCAGATTCTTCCGTTCTCTGTTCATCCTTTAACTCTTCCCTTCTTTGATCATCTTTCTGATCCGTCGTACTGCCATTGCCGCAGAGACTCTGGGATGGATGTTCAGTCTCCAAATAGTGTGCAGTCAGCTCTCTGGCCCAGGCCTCTCCTCCAGGACGAAGGGCTATGTATCTAACTAGTTGCTGCTGTGATTAGTTTCACTTTTATGCCTCAAATTCACATCAATGGAAATATTTTCATTCTTTTGTTGTTGTTCATCCTCACCCAAGGATATTTTTCCATTGATTTTTAGAGAGAGTGGAAGGGAGGGGAAGAGACACAGAGAGAGGAACATTGATGAGAGAGACACATCAATTGGTTGCCTCCCATAGGGATGGAGAGTGAGCCTGCAACTGAGTTGTGTGCCCTTGACTGGAATAGAACCCAGGACCCTTCAGTTGGAGGGCCGACACTGAATTCACTGAGCCAAACCTGCTAGGGCAATGGAAACATTTTCAAAACGGAATTTAACTCCCCGTCCCCAAAATTTCTGTATTCTGTGTTCCCTAATTTACTGAATGGCATCACCATCTGATGAAGGCAGAAACTTGCCTTTATTTCTCCTCCTCTCTCATCACTGCCATAGCCAACCTCTAACCAAATCCTATAGATCCAACCCTCCATTCCGATAGCACCTTCTGTGGTGGCTCTTGCCTAGATTCAGTTGTTGCCAATCCATGGATTCATGGCTCCAGCTTTGTCCCTCTCTCATCTGATGTCCACTCTGCTGCCTGAGTGATCTTTGTAGCGCATGTGTAATAAAGCCACACACACAGAGCTGATCATGTCACTTTCCACCTTCGCTTTGTCAGTGGTTTGCCATTGCCTTTAGGTGAAGTTTCCTCCTTACAGTGCCTAGAGCACTAACTTTCAAACATTTTTATCACAACCGTAGTGAAAAATATATTTTATACTCTGACCTAAGACCCCTCCCATACACACACGTCCACAATTGAACAAAAGTCTTTTTACAAAGCAAAGTTTGTCTTTACTGTATACAGTATATATTTTATTCCGTTACATTAGAAATGCTGATTATCACTGAACTAAGTTGACCTCAGGACTGCTGCTTAAAAAAACAGTGGCAGAGAAATGCCTTTATGATCTGGCTCCTATCTATCTCTTTAGTCTAACTCCCATTCCAGTCTAGTCACCCTAATTTCCTCTGGTTCCCTGGAATAACTTCCTCTGCCTAGAATGCTTCTTCCTCCCCCACCCACCCCACCCCCATCCACTCCTGTATTAGAATAAGAATTAGATGTGATAGAAATAATCTAGATAATTTCTACCATTCTTTGTGTCTCTGGACTTTTATCATGGGGCTTAGCAAACTTTTTATTGTATTACTTCTTTCATTATATATCTTCCTTATTTTCTCTAGACTGTGAGCTTAGAGAAAGTAAAGATGAAGCGTGGTTTTTCACAGTTGTCTAGAGCCTAGTCCAGTGTCTGGCATGGGGTAGGACTCAGTAAGTGGTAAGTAGATAGTAAATGGAATCCACTCCAGTGGCTTTCATTTACACTTAGAATAAAATTCAAATAATCGTCGTCATTATGGCCTACAAGGCACAACTGTGATCCCCCTATACCCCTCCTAACCCTTCAATTCATTTCCTGCTGCTCTTCACCTTGGTTTCTGAGCTCCACCCACACAGGCCTCCCTGCCCAGCACACACACTCCTGTTCTCTCAAATATCTGCACGGCTGGCCTTCTCACCTCACCTGAGGTTTCTGGTTAGGTGTCCCCTTACAGAGGCCTTTCCTGGCTGCCCCATCACCCTTTCCCA